GCATCCAATGTAACTTTCTATATTTGTTGTGTCTATATATCCCATGCGGATGCATCATTGTAAATCAACAAGTTCAATAACAACTATTCATTATAATATCAAGTTCTTTCATATCCTCCAGGCCAACTTCGAATGAGAACAGATGATGATATATCCTCCAGGCCAACTTCGAATGGAATTTCCAACCTTTACTACCATGTCGTATACTTATTTACAAGCAAAAAGAATTAGTTACAAAGCAAGCTTTCTGATTCTACCAAAGAGAAGGAAATTGCATTGAAAAGGAAAAACTTCAAACTTTTAAGGCAAGGAAATATGCTGAAAGAGTTGTGAGCATTGAAACAGATGATGTAACATAAACATTGGTCATCTCTGCCAAACCAAAAGGCAAGCTAAAAACCTATGTACCTGACCATCATACCATCCAGCATCTTCATCTGCAAACAGAAAGAAGAGCAAAAAATTAATGACATGTATATGATAACCATTACTTTGTTCTAACAAATTAACAATTACCCTTTGTCGTATATGACATGTATCTTAGAAAATTAGTCTAGGATTGGGAAACAAGATGAGAGGCAGTACCTTTACTTCAGTGTATCCAAGAAAGCAAATATGATGAGAGTTAATCAACAGAAATATGAAAAAACAAAGCCAAATTTTAGCTAGCAACATATCACAAGCAAATGAAACAATGAGTTGGAATAAAATTGAACAATTAAATTATATTAATTTCTGAAAGTGGTTACTAATCTCAGATGTCCCAACATCAACAAAAAACACCCAATAATTGGTGAGAACTCCTTACCATCAGTGTGAACCCGAAAAGGCCAAAATAAAGTTTGGGAATTTACAGAACTTACAAAATAGAAACACCCATAAACTACTTAAAATTCAATAATTAATAAAGATCAAGTACTCATTCTATTCTCTGCCATTATCACCATCACTTGAGTAAAAATCTAATAAGCCAGAAAAAATCACAAATTCAGAACCAAAACACACCAAGATCCAAACTTTTGAACCCAAAACTCGAAACCCAAATACGAAATAAGAGATTGAGTTCTTAAAATGGATACTTACAAAGCAATAATACTTCTTCTTGGAGACCATGTAGCCATATCGAGAGAGAGAGAGAGATAGATGAGGAAATGGAGAGGTAGATCAGAGAGAGAGACAGACAGACAAAGCTGATGAGATGGAGTGATGAGATTGCTGGCTAATCTTCTAGTGAAGGATGAAGAGAGGCCAAAAGAGATAGAACAAGAGAGAGCTAAAGTGAGAGAGAGGCAGATGGAGAGTGGGTGTGGGAGTTTCAGGGTTTTTGGTTCTGAAGGAGGAAAAGGGAGTGTTGTTTCGATTTGGGGCTGAGAGAGAAGCGCGAAACTTTTGTTAAGACGAGAGCGTGATATGGTTCTACTAGAGGGAATAAAGCACGAAATTAGAATTTCCGTGAAAACGAAGCGCGGGGAAAACATTGGGTATTAAACTTTTAATGAGAGCAAATAATTATGACAACCACTTATTGCCCTCGGAAATACGCTATAATTTCCGACAACGTCAAAGCCTTATATTTTACAACACATGTGAAAGTTTTTTTTTTTAATCAATGTGTGAAAATGTCATAATGATAATATAATGTTATTTATGTCATAGTTTTTATTTATGCAATGTGTGAAAATGCCATAATGAAAATGCAATGCTATTTATGTCAAGTTGTGGTATAGTGATTAACTTGTGTTTTTGTTTGTACATCAATTAATTTGAGTTTTTGTTGTCACTTTGAATATTTATAACTCAAAATAAGATTCCATATAAAAAAACAAAAAAAAAACTCAAAATAAGATTGTTTGAAGCTTTATGTTGAAGAGAATTTCACAAAGAGTTCGTATGAATTTTCGGCATATTTTTAGGAATTTGTAATGTATTTATTATGAATTTTAGAATTTAAATCATAGAAAAAATGTATTAAATTGAAGAGATGGACAATATGACAACTGTTGTGGGGCGCACCCACTGTATTTCTTCAACTCTTACTCCAATTATTCCTTCAAATTTCAAAGTCAAATTTTATGTTCACACATCATAGTCAAAGATAATGTAATAATATCAGAAACTCTGACGACGCATCCATGAGGCGTTGCCATGTGTCATTCTCTTCCATTTATTACTATCTTTCAATGCTTTTAACTTCAAAAAATCATAATAAATTCAGTAAAATTCACCAAAAAAATCCCATGAACTCCTTGTCACATTTATTTCATCTTTTAAGCTTTAAAATATAATGTTGACATATAAAAAATTCAAAGAATTTGTCAAAGTCCAAGTTTGCTTCTATACTAACAATAATACTATGTTGAATTTTATTTTACTTCAAACTCTTCCTCCAATTATTACTTCAAACTTCCCAAAGTCAAATTTTATTTTCACACATCATAGTGAATTTTTGAAGGTTAACACAACAAAATGAAACTTTAATGGTTTAACTTCCAAAATCATAATAACTCATTAAATAGAATAAATACATAAATATATTTATGAAGCTTTAGTGAATAGTAAATCATGCAATGTTGAAGCTCTAGTGAATCCTTTTGAAGCTTTTATTGCTATTTCCAGTGATGTTGTGTTCTTCTTCCTTCTTGTCTACTTTCCTACTTCTTAGGAGCAAAGAAGTCAATACTCGCTTTGCACAAACAGAAATCAACAAAACCGGAGTTTCTATGTTCTCTATTGCTGCATTTTGTCCATTTCTCATATCGGGTATGTTGGTCACATTGGACGGAACCATGCTTATCTCACAGCTGATCCACCAACACGTTCCCCAGGCAATTAGCTAGTCGCGGGTTCATATGTTAAATATCATGCATAAATTGATTTTCTGCAGACCACAACATGCATATATTGTCAACGCAGTTCTCAACATCCTTGATTGATTGTAATCTTCTAATGAAAAAATTCTGAACCATTTTGTCAACACACAAAAATGAAACTCAAATGAGTTGTGCTACACAAGAATGCCGCCCATCAGAAGCACTGATGACGCACCATTAAGGTGGTGCCACTTGTCTATTTCTTCCATTTATTACTATTTTTCAATGCTTTAAGTTTCAAAAATAATAATAAATACATAAAAAATGAAGAGAAATACACACACAAAATACACGAACCTCCTTGTGACATTTTCTTCATCTTTTAAGTTTATATGAAAAGATTCATAAAAAACTGATGAAGACTTCTGAGTCAAAAAAATAAAAATAATATTTATGAAACTTTAGTGAACAGTAAATCAAATGATGTTGAAGCTCTAGTGAATCCTTCTA